GGCCCAAGCACCTGGGCCATCCTCCACTGCACTCCCTGGCCACAGCAGAGGGCTGGCCTGGAAGAGGGGCAACCGGGACAGAATCCGGTGCCCCGACCGGGACTAGAACCTGGTGTGCCGGCGCCGCTAGGCGGAGGATTAGCCTAGTGAGCCGCGGCACCGGCCCCAAGCAGTGTCTTAACCACAGTGCCAAACACCCACCCTGGAATGATCTTTGAAAACTACATTCTTTGGGCCGGTGCTGTGGCACAGTGGGTTAACGTCCTGGCCTGAAGCACCAGCATCCCATATGGGTGCCAGTTCAAGACCCAGCTGCTCCTCTTCTGATCCAGCTCTCTGCTGTGGCCTGGGATAGCAGTAGAGGATGACCCAAGTCCTTGGGCCCCTGCACCCACGTAGGAGACCTGGAAGAAGCTCCTGGCTCCTGGCTTCGGATCCGTGCAGTTCCGGCCGTTGCGGCCAATTGGGGAGTGAACCAACGGATAGAAGACCTCTCTCTCTCTCTGTCTCTCCTCTCTCTGTGTAACTCTGACTCTCAAGTAAACAATAAATAAATCAAAAAAAAAAAGAAAGAAAACTACACTTTTTGCACTATTTCTTTTAAGCCAAAGGAAAGGTTTTGATTCAATTTCGGTCAAAAGTGTTTGATTTTTTTTCTGATATGTAGAGGTATTTCACGACTGCGTGGTCAACAATGAACTGCTGGGCACAGGTGCAGTCACAGGCGGCACACTGCACGTGCCGGTGTCCAGGGAGGCCAGCAGCGCTCGCTCTCAAGAGGAGAATGCCCCTCCCAGGGCAGCAGGGTTAGCATGAGCGAGGAAGGAAACTCCCAGTCCTTCAAGATTGAACTTGAACTCTTCGAGGTGCTCAGCCCCACCGAGCGTGCACTGGGAGTCAGGGACCCAGCTTGGAAGACACGGAGGGTCTGCCACTCAATATTTGCATGGAGATTGTCCGAGTGGAGGCTGAAGCTGTGCACCCTGCGTGGAAGGTGCTGGGGCTGATCCCTGTGGTATGGAGGTTTTCCGTTAGTTAAATAGGGCCAGGGCTGGTATCGAGGCACAGCTGAGTTAGCCATCACTTGTGACGCCAGTATCCCTTATAGGAGTGCTGGTTTGAGTCCTAGCTGCTCTGTTTCTGATCCAGCTTCCTGCTAAAGCCCCTGGGAGGGCAGTGAAGGACGACCTTAGTATTTCAGCTGCTAGCACCCACATGGCATACCCATATAAAGCTCTTGGCTAATGGCTTTGGCCTTGCTCAGCTCTGGTTGTTGCGACCATTTGGGGAGTAAACTAATGGATGGAAGATCTCATTCTCTCTCTGTCACTCTGCTTTTCAGATAAACAAAATAAACTTTTTTAAAAATTAGCAAGTTAAATGGAACATAGTGCATTAGTGAGAGTTTGTCCCTGGACCTGGCATTGTGGAACAGCAGGGTAAGCCACAGTCTGTGCTGCCGGCATCCCATATGGTTCTAGTTTTAGCTGCTTCACTTCTTTGATCCAGACTCCTGCTAATGTGCCTGGGGAAGCAGTGGAAGAGGGCCCAAGTACTTGGGTCCCTGCACCCATGTGGGAGATTCAGATGGAGTCCCAGGCTCCTGGCTCTGGCCTGGCCCAGCCCCAGCCACTGTAGCCATTTGGGGAGTGAACCAGCAGATGGAAGATCCTCTCTCTCTCTCTCTCTCTCTCTCTCTCTCTCTCTAACTCAGGCTTTCAAATAAATAAATAAAATCTTAAGAAAAACTTTGTCCCTAAGGAAAACACTTTCTTGTTTTCCCACTATTCCGCATAAAGAATGTGGCATGTATTCCTTAATCAAGGCAAGCGGCCGGCACTGTGCACAGTCAGTTGGGCCCCTTCCTGTGATACCCACATCCCACACATCCCAGCTGCTCCAGTCCTGATCCAGCTCCATGTTGCTGTGCCAGGGAAGGCAGCAGAGGATGGCCCAAGTGCTCAGTCCCCTGCCACTCACATGGGAGACCCAAACTGAGTTCCTGGCTCCTGGTTTCAGTCTGGAGTAGCCCTAGCCATTGTAGCCATTTGGAGAGTAGCCAGCGATGTAAGATCTGGCTGGCTGTCTCTCTCTGTAACTTTGCCTTTGAAATAAGTAAATATTTTTATTTTTTTAAAAGCAACCCTCCCCCCCAAAAAAAGAGCACAAACTGTTTCAATGATTATATCACTTACCTGTCCAAAAATACTTCTAGAATTTTCTAAGGTGGAGATTGACCTGCCAGCTTCAAAGTGATCTGGAGTCAGTTTATGTATGAATCCCAAGTGGTCATAGTATAATGTGAAGATTTTATCGGCAACATTTCCAATCTTAGTGTATTTGCTTAATCCTAGTAGGAAATAAACAGAAGTCTGCTAATACTGATGTAACACAACTAGAAAAATTTTAATTGCATACGTTGTAAGAACTTCATTTAAATGAAGGGTTCTGAGACTCTCAACTTAGTCAAACCCATCCCTGAAGGTCTTCTCCAGGCTCCATGTCGTCCAGCACCTGTTCACTGAGGCAGGTGAAGGCCCAGTCCAGCAAAGGATCGAAACTCAAAATTTGAGGCACATTTCTACTGAACGCACGTACACTGTTGGTGCGTCAGCATATGTTGAAAAATCCTAACCCGAAACATCACGTATATAGAATCCAAACATCGTCACCTGTCCTGGGCCTTCTGGCTGATCTATTGGTCGCCATGATTCTGCCTATAGACCCCTTCAGCCCATTCTCAAAAGAGCAAGCCAAGCACCAGTCGACGATGGTGAGTCACAACCTCTTCCCAGGGCCATTGTGACCTGGATCCTGGTGGCCTCTGGTCGGTCCTGTTTGGGATGCTTCCTCTGCTCAGCCACCCCAGCCTCAGGTCCTCCACGTCCACAATCGAAGCGCCTGTCTCAGCGACAGCTTTGCTTCTTGCTCTCCACCTTCCCCCTTGTTACACACGGCTGCCCCTCTCTCGGCTCGCCTGGCCCTCCAGCGCGCCTGCCTCTCTCTCAGCTAGTCTGGCCCTCCAGCGCGCCTGCCCCTCTCTCGGCTCGCCTGGCCCTCCAGCGCGCCTGCCCCTCTCTCGGCTAGTCTGGCCCTCCAGCGCGCCTGCCCCTCTCTCGGCTCGCCTGGCCCTCCAGCGCGCCTGTCCCTCTCTCGGCTAGTCTGGCCCTCCAGCGCGCCTGTCTCTCTCTCGGCTCACCTGGCCCTCCAGTGCGCCTGCCCCTCTCTCGGCTAGTCTGGCCCTCCAGCACAATGAGGAGCACAAGTGGCGGGAGCCTGCTTCCTTGGGGGTTCCTGATTCTGCATCAAGGCTTTGGACGTGTTACTCTGAAATCTGGTACTTGTTGTAGTCCCTCCCCACGACCGACTGCACCCCTCCCTCAACTGAAACTCTTAAGAAGTTATCTTTTTTTCTTGGTTTGCTAAAATGTTTCTTATTTAAATACTTCCTTTTTAAATTTTGATTCACTTGAAAGGCAGAGTCAGTCTCTCTCTCTCTCTCTCTCTCTCTCTCTCTCTCTCACACACACACACACACACAATCTTCCATCTGCTGGTTCTCTTCCCAAATAACCACAACAGTAAGGACAGGCCCAGGTCAGAACCAGAAGCAGGAACTGCACTGGGTCTCCCACACAGGTGGCAGGGGTTCGAGTACTCGAGCCACCGCCTGCTGCCTCCCTGGTGTGCCGTGGCAGGAAGCTGGATCAGAAGTGGGTTGCTAGCTGGAACTCAAACCAGGCAGTCTGACGTGGGACGTGCGCATCCCAAAGGCAGCTTATCTTGCTGTGCCACAATGCCAGCTCCAGTGTTTCTGGATGTGGCATTTGTATTTTCCATTGCCAAATTTGTATTTTCCATTCCCAAAATTCTATTTCAAAATCGTAATTTAATAGATGACTGCGTTTTTCCATTGCCTGCAGATATTCTCAAGTTGCCTTTTATTTTGGCAAACAGAGTAAATAGAGTTTTAAAAACCTTGCGTGCAGGAATTCCAACACTGACTTCATGGGTAGTTTTCCTCTATGTTCTACTCCGTTCTTCGTTTCCTTTTACTTCGAATGCTTTTTGCTGAAACCTGGTCACTACTTCTGAGAACATTATGGAGGCACTTTTGAGGCCTAGGAGGATGCCTTCCTCTGTGGAGGGTCTACACCTGCTTTCTCCAAGAGCTTGGAGTCCTGGCAGAAACCAAATCCAGCGTGGGATTCACACCCCACCCCCCAGACAATGCAAATCAGGGCTACAGATAACCCTGAGGCCTTTAGAGGGTCACAGTCTCTCCCCAGGTTGTTTATAAACAACTTCCTTCTATCCCTGGGATTTACTGGTCGTTGTCCTGCAGGAGTTTTATTACCCATGAGTCATGCCTAGGAGAGTTTCCTGTTACTACCGCATACTGGCCTGGTGTGGCGAGGTCCTGCTGAGTGCTCTT